TGTAGGCATTCAATAACTTACAGATATTACTATGTAATATATTATCATTTCTCTTGGAGCTACAGAGTACACTCCTCTCTTAGAAAAGATGAAAGAAGGGTAGGAGTAGGTGGTCCCATCATGCTAGACACTGGAAAGGGTGAACTTGATTGAACTTGTTTTATTTACAACTGTGATAAGGCATACACAATACTTTTTTTTTCTTAAAAATTCATAGAATTAGCCCTGACTGGTGTGGCTCAGTGGATTGAGTGCCAGCCTGTGAACTAAAGGATCACCGGTTCAATTCCCAGTCAGGGCACATGCCTGGATTTGGGGCCAGGTCCCCAGTAAGGGGCATGCAAGAGGCAACCATGGATTGATGTTTCTCTTCCTCTCTTTCTTCCTCTCTTCTTCTCTGTCTAAAAATAAATAAATAAAATCTTTTAAAAAAATTCATAGAATTATACACAAACCATTTGAGTTGGAGAGCTCTTAAGAATCTATTCCAAATGCTTCATGTTCCAGATAAAAGAATTGAGGGGCCAAGAGTGGCGAAGTGACTTGGTCAAGGTCAATTCACTCATTAGTATATATTTAAGTGACCCAAATCCTCTAAGATCACATATTTCTTCCCTTCTAAAATACTTCTTGCTCACATATTCAACTATAAATGTAAAACAGAGACAATTCTCAAGAGACAATTATTAATGTTTTATTGTTACTGGCTCATTGTAAAACCCATAGATCTATTTTTAAATATTTTATTTTAATTTCTATCCACACAAATTATGTGACTTCCTGCCAACTAAGACTGAAACAGCTACTTACCATTCCTTTCCCATTCCAAGGATATGTCCTGTAGCTTTCCTTTCTTCTATTATTAAGAAATATTCTGCCTTATCCTCCAATGCGTAAGACAGAAAGGAGCTCACGTAAACCCACAGAGAACAGCTCTCTTCAAGTTTACCAAGTGAAAGGGGGCCCAGGGGGACCGCTGCCGTGCTGGGCACTGGAGGCACCGGTGGCCACCTGCCTCCCTGGCACAGTCCCCTGTGAGTAGGGACAGATCACCATCACCACTATTTTTCTAGCAAAGGCAGTATTTTGAGGATTTTTTTCTTGGTGAGCCTCTTTGTTTAGCACATCTTTTAGCATTGTGTATTCTACTGAAGGACAAATCAGTGTGAATCCCATATGGACCAAATAACTTGGAAGAGCTTCATGATCACAGAACACACAGTCTTCTCATAAAAGCCTCATGGAACAGCCTTTCCCTGGATCTTCTCTTGGGTTGCTCCTTCTGAGAAATGTACTTCCAGCCTAGGCGTCTCTTCTTAGAGAGAGCACCCCTCACTATCCAGGCTCCACTTGCCCTCTATCACAACACGCTGTTGTATTGACTCACTATAGGAACACGTGTGTTGTCTGTGCCCCACCACAATGCTAAGTTCTGTGAAGGCAGGGTCCTTGCTCATCATGGTGCGTCCCATTTTGGCTTAGAGTGCTCACTCGATGAATAGGTGAGCGTGGGCACATATTCTTCCAATACACCTGTTGGGCTGCGTCAGCCCCTGAGTTCATTACTTACTAACTAGCTGAAGTAAGCAAAGGACTTAAATACAATGAACTTCTCGGTGCTTCTCCTAAGATAAAAATGTGTATCTCACTAGGCTGCTATAGTGATCAAATGAGATAGATATGTGCAACATGCTTAGAACAGGAGCTGGCACTAAAAACCCTTAATGCGCAGTCGTTATTCCCATAGTTAAAGCAGAGCATATTATTATAAAGGAGTCATGGTCAGGTTATATAAATATTAAAGTTGAAATCAGAGGGCCCTAATTCAATCACATAAGGTAAATTTTTTAATGAATTAAAACCAGGTTTTTCTTGTTGGCTATGCAAAGTTATTCATTTTTATAAAGTGTCCCCAAATCAATCTTTATGATAACTCCCTCTTATAATAAATTATTATTCGAGATCTTCTCCTTCACCCAACCCCTTGGTATCCATTTGGAAAATGGCATCTCTCTGTGAACGCTAGTAGTAAGATTTTGAAAGTAGAATTTTAAACACTTTTTGCAAATATGTGTTAGCCATGGTTTTCCATTGGTGGGTCAGCAGGGAGCTCCTTTCTGTTGCCTGTGCTACTGAATGGCTTTGACTAGAGGCATCCCGAGGGTTTCAAGAACATCGCTGTTCTTGGACCACTAAGAATCTAATTGGGAGGAGAGAGAATCCTTCTTTCCTTTTATCACACCTTGATTCTCCCATAGTGAATGAACTTCCCCACGAGCTGCCGGTTCCATCAAAGGAGCAATGAAGAGCAGCTGGCTCTTTGCCACTGGCTGGGAAGGAGGCCGTGGAGGGAAGGAGCATTCTCTCTCTCCCCTGTCCCGTCTTCCTTTCCTGGCTTTTCCATGACAGTGCATTGGACAGTGAATGGAGAGCTGTGGCTTAAAGGATCAGTGTGTAGAAAAGGTTCACCCAGGCTTCTGGGTGAAGTTCCAAGGTAACTGACAGTAGAGAACGATCTTAAAACAAGGTGCGAGAGTTTTATCACCTTTCTGGCCCTTTGATCCTAGATCTGAAAATAGAAAGAAAAATGTATCTGAGGGGAAACTCCATCTTTAGCCACTTTGCCATTCATTTTATGGTTTCTCTTAAAAGCCTTTCTAACTTTGTCTCACTAACAAGATAGTTAACAAGAACTATACATAGGCTCTACAGACCAAAAAAATCTTTCCACTGATAGTATTTTCTTCTATTTTCTTTTTGTATTCATCCCCAAATTTTAAAATAAAAATACTGTGGGAATAGGAAGCAGGGAAAGGGAAATTAGGCAAATAAATACTGACCTTGCCAGAGGGTTTGGGGAAGGTACCGTGAATATTTTTCTTTATAAATTTAAATGTCTCAGTCTGTTCCTTTACAATCCAGGCAAGTAACTTCGTACTTTCTTTCTTCAAGCCTCCTGTGCCTTCACTAAAGTCTGAGGGCCAAGGATGGGAGGCCTAGTGGTGGTGGTGGGGGAGGGGTCCTATAATCTACACCAGCATTTGCTTGCAGGGAATTGTTTTGTTTTTTTTTCTATTTCTTTTTTTTAAATTAATTAATTTATTTTTTTCAAATACAGTTGTCTCTGCCTACCCCACTCAGGGAATTGTTTTTAATGCAAAAATTCCTGGGCACCTCTGAGGTGTATCCTCTATGATTTTTCTTTTTTTAAAATAAATATCCCCAGAAGACTCTGAGATGCAGCCAGTTTGAGAATCCCCGTTTTAGGGTGACGGTACAACATAAGCGCCATGAGGCCAAGTGCAAGGCTATTTGCTCATTCTTGTACATCCATCCTGTTCCTGGCACATGGAGGGCACTCGATCCACATTTGTTTATAAACTCACACCTAGGAACACACTTTATAATTTGTCCTCATCTAAATTCCATCCTCTAGTACCTTGCAAATCACTTAGCAAGGGGGAGGGGAGAGAGAGGGAGACGAGATTGCTTTGGGAAATCAGTAAAAGCTCATGGAAGCTAAAAGACACAAAATTTGGCCCACCATTTCGGGGAATTCACAAACTTCCCTGAAACTCATTCTGGATTTCTGTTTACTCATTCACTCATTGTTCATTTCGTAACACCCTGCTGAGCACTGGCAGGGGGCTCAGAGATGTAAGGGACCAGACTGTGAAGCAGGTTCAGGCAAGCTTTGCGTTCGGAGATGGCTCACGGGTTTTCTTGTCCTCTTCCCTCAGGTTTATAGAAAGGGCCTTCAAAATTTGGCCCACAGAAGAAGAAAAGGGATTTCAATGGGATTTGGAGCTCCTGCCCCTTCCTGACTTTGTAACCTAGAGGTGTAATGATAGGTTTTCTCACTCTAAGTAGATTTTAGGCTCCTTGAAGGCAGGGCCCACATCCCTTGTATGCTGAGCAAGCACTTCAGAGGGATCGTCAGGGCAGTACTGGATGCGTGCGTTTGTGCCGAGCAGGGAGAAGTGGTGGCTGTCCATGGGAGGCAGCTCTAAAGGCAGCCTCAAGTGACTGTTAGAATAAGGACATGGGTGGCACCTGGTTTTGCTGACTAGTTGAGAAGCCCCGATTCCTAGTTTACAAACGAGCCTTCCTCAGATCCACACAAACCATAGGCAACACACCAGGTTTGATTTGGTTTGTTTGGTTTTTACCTGTAAAACCTGAAATGAGAATCTAGGACTCCAGGACCAATTTCTAGCAGTGCTCTTTCAAACCAATCCCTTGACCTTGGCAGAGGGAGGGATGGGGGAAAGCAAGGTATGTTCTTAAGGTCCTTTTGGGACCCACATTGTTCTACTAAATGAAAGCCAAGGATTAAAAGGCCAAAGTCTCAGTGCCCATACTCATACTCGTTAGCATCCCTTGTTGTATCACTTTGGGGCAGGTTTAGAGGTATGATGGTGATTTGTAGTCACAGTTATTATTATTATTTTGGTCCGGTGTTTAATATTTATTGCTGTGTTTCAAGTGCAAGAGCGTTAACTCTAGATTATCTACTAGCACAGTTCTATGATTATTTGCAATTCTCCAGCACTTCCTTTTCTACTGACTGGTCAAGTTCCTAACCATCAACAGCAGAAGACCTTGGAAGAAGTGAAGGGTCTTTGAGAGACTGAAGCTTAGAAGGCTTAAGGGTTGGGCTTAGAAAGGGGATGTTCTTCCCTGTGTCCTAAGGTCTTTGTTGACATATGTCATACTCCCTGTTTCGTATCAATTGTACCACCTCCTCTACCCCATTTAGAATAATTTAGAGGTTGATTCTGTAATAATTGTATTTATTTTCTTTAAAATACACAATATATATTTATATCTATGCCTCATTTCCCCTTTAAGGGCCTAACTAATAATAGGACCTAACTAATAATAGGACCTAACTAATAATAGGACCTAAAATAAAATAAAAATAATATTTTATAATATTTGGTCTACAGTAACAAAAATTCCTTCTGCTTAATTATGTTTCCATTTTCCTTTCATGCCAGGTATCATTAAAACATTCCAAGGTCATCCAGTTGAATTCCACAGGGATTGGTGGTCAACCAGACGGCTCAGACGTGGATATCTGATTGCTTACCTGTGAGTAGAGTCTATGTGACTTGACAGGAAGAGGGACTCTTTCCTCAGCAATTCTATGGCTTCTCAGCCTGATTTCCTAAACTCTTGCACCTAAAGGTGAATTGTGAGATGCCAAGTTTTCTGCTCTGCCCCTCATCGGTCACTTACCAGGCAATCTAGCAAGTTCGGAAGGAATTGTTTTGTAATATGATTTTTTGCTTTATTTTTTTTTATTTTTCTTGCATATATAATATCTTAAGCAAAAGAGCTCCCTTTCCGTAATGAAGTCCTCACTTCCGGCAAAGACTGCTGATGGCCTGAGGCAGTGTAGAGAAGATGAGTTGATCATGGGGCTGGGGATAATCAGCCCACTTAGCACGAACACTGTGACATCAGGAGTGTTAAGCGCCCCCACTTTCAACAAACTCTCCTCAGCTGGGGCAGAACTTCTACCAGCGGGGGGTCTTCCTGGAAAACAGGAAGAGGGAATTGGAAAGGAAGGGGATGGAGAAAACAAAGAAAACTTCACTTGTTTGCGTTTTTCCCCAAGTTGGCACCCATAGGAGGAACAGTTGTTCAGGAATTTAGCACGGCTCTCAGGCAATTATTGTTTCAGGACTCTCTCAGTTACACCCTGTATTAGTTTGCTGTGGCTACCACAGCAAAATACCACAGACTGGGTGGCTGAAACAACAAAGATTTATTTTCTCAGAGTTCTGGCAACTAAAAGTCCAAATCAAGATGTCAGCAGGTTTGGTTTCTTCTGAGGGCTCTCTCCTGACTTAGAGGTGACAGTCTTCTCCCTGTGCCTTCACGTGACCGTCCCACTGCATGCATGTGTCTGGCGCCTCTGTGTGTGTGTGTGTGTGTGTGGATGTGTGCCCGAATTTCCTCTTCATAGAAGGAAGCCAGTCTTATCAGGTCAGGGCCCACCCGAATGACCTCATTGTAACTTAGTCACTTCTTTAGAGACCTGATCTCCAAATACAGTCACGTTCTGAGGTGCTGGGGATTAGGACTTCAACATATGGACCTAGGGGAACACAATTCAGTCCCTAACACCCCACCATCATTTATTCTCTAGCATGCTGATGTTTAGCTTATTGCACGTGGACATCTCTAAATCTCTCTTCAGAACTCCCTTAACATTTATATCACTCTTGTTATTTTTTTTCCTACAGCTTATTATAGTCCTTTGTGTGTGCAGCTCTCATTTCCCTATGGCATTTCATAATTTTTGAAATTGAAGAGTCTGCCTCCTACCTCCCTCACAGCAATAGAGAAGGGGTGGGGTACAGTAGGTATTTCATAATATTTATTAAACAACTGAATAAATAAATAAATGAGTAGATCAGATGAAGCCTCTGAATCTGCAATTTAAATGCTTTAACACTACCTCTAAATGATGATTATTAGTGGTGCTTTCTCTTTGTTTGCCACCCTCTGTCCCCCACAACAGGTGGAAATAGGTCAAGGTCAAGGCTGGAGAGGGTCTGAAGAAAAATGGTTAATTGATGGCAGAGCATTACCTCTTTCCTCAGAGAGGTAGGAAACAGGCAGTAAATAGCATGTGTTTGCCCTGGATATGGTCACTCTCCCTTGAGAATGCTGTTTGGAAACCAAAAAGAAGGATGATGAGTTTTTGTTGTGACTTACAGAGTCTGATGGCCTGTGGGGCATCCAAGGGCATAGGTCTAGGGCATAGGGATATGCAAGCCTGAAGCTCAGGTGAGAACTAGAAACACAGATGTTCAGAGCCCTAACCTCTACACAGGAACTAAAACGATGACAGTGGCTGAGGCCACACAGAGAGTGGGTGGAGGGAGAGGAGCAATGGTTTAAAAATGCCACCAAAACTCGTATGTAGCAAGCTCCCCTGTTGAATAACAGGAGAGAGACCCTTCCAAGAGAAAGAAATCTCCATGCTACTTCTAATGAGGGTTTGTAAGAACATGTATGTTAGCTAATGTGTACGTCCAGCTATTTCTTTTTCCTCTTATTTCTTTGGTTATTTTTTTCTTTTTTTCTTTTTTTTTTCATTTTCCTCCAAGGACATGCTCCTTGATTTTTAGAGAGGGAAGAAGGGAGAGAGAGAGAGAGAGAGAGAAACATCAATCTGAGAGAGAAACATTGATCCATTGCCTCCCATATACGCCCTAAGTGGGGATCAAACCACAAGCTAGGTATGCGCCCTGAGCAGGGATCGAACCCATGACCTTTATGGTGTATGGAACAACACTCCAACCAACTGAGCCACCCAGCCAGGGCTTCTTTGCTCTTATTTTATTCCTTCTTCTTTTCTTTCTTTTGTGGGATGTGCCCAAAACCATTCCTGGGGAGCTCGTCGTACCCAACTTTGCTCCCTTCTAGCTAACTCCACTCTTGGACATGTGTTTAATGCCCCAGCTACCTGCCCAGGGGTCCCACACGTCAATACCTTCCTTTGGGACCATTTTCCTCATCAGCCAATCAGAACTGCTCAGACTGGACAGTAGGAGAGGCCCAGGATTAGACCTTTACTGTCCACAAAGGCAGAAGGCAGGTTCTTTTCAGGGTCAGGTGCCATAGATATTGCCTTGTCTGGACAGCAGAGGGACCAGTTTGGGGGGAATGTACCTCTTTTGCTCCCTGAATTTCCTCCTTAGTCAATCGTTCTTTGCTGATCTCCCCATGCCACCTGTGCTTGAGAGGAAGCTTTGGAAACAGCTTAGGGCTTCCCAGCAAGGCCACAATGGGGGCTCGTGAGTGTTGATGGGCCATGACAACCACAACAAGCTTCTCCTCCCTGGGCTCCACCACTAAATACCATTTCTAATGGGGTCATGGTTACCCCAGCGCTGAATTTCCCTGGTTTTTCCTGCTTTACTGTGATGCAAGGAAAGGGGAAAAGGTATTTGTTTCTTTTATCTTCTAAGGCCTTATTTCTTTTCCTTTAAGTCCCCTCCTTGCTTTTTTTTCCCTTCTTTTTCTCTCTTCTGTAGTTCTTTCTTTAGCAGAAACCCTTGATCTTTCTTTGGATTGTCTGATTATTAGCAAAAGAAGGCTATCAGAGGTCTGGAAGCTTTCTCGTTGTTCTCTGCATACCCCCACCCATTTTTTTAAAAAAGGAACTTAGAGATACCAGCTTTCTTCAAGTACCTTCCTATATACTTTCCTCTTGGTGTTCTTCAAGTAGCCAGGAAAAAGGATGCCACTTTTCTTATAGCTACCCAAAATGTCCATGACACTGGCGTCAGTGATTTTTATACACATTGTTATTTACCTGCAAGGAGAAAGGAGAAATGCAGAGGTCAAGAGAAAACAGTTCTGCAGTCTATGAATGGGCTAGGTGAGCTGTTCCAAATGAATGGTGGCCAGTGGCCAGCAGAGGTGCCTCCCGACTGTGTTTCATTAATTTCAAGCAGCTGAAGGACTTGGAGGGAAAGATAATTTTCCCAAGAACACGTAAAAGAAGTGCTTTGAGTTGTGTGCAGGCTTTGCCCTCGTTTTAGAACAGCATAAATAGGAGACTTTATAACCACTGTGGGCCAATATTTTTGGAGTCACTTGAAGCTCCAGATGGAGTGGAAAGAGAAGGAGGGTTTTTTTTTCTTCCTTTTTCCTTGAGTTTTGCTGAACAAGGCTCCCTGGACACCCTTGACAAAGTGTTGGGTCTCTTGTTTAATTCAAGTGTGCCTACACTTGTTATAGCAAGATCTAAAGGGGTCTTTCTTACACTAAGAGTCTTTCGACAGATTTTTGGTTGCGGTTGTAGAACGAGGCTCACATGTGAGAAAGTCTTGAATCTACTCCTTCCCTAAGAGTCTTGCCCCAAGGAGACTGCTTTCTGGTCCTTGTCATGGAGCTTAAGGAAGAAAGCATACAATGAGTTCAAGTTTGGTTAGGGACTGAGAGGACATGAGGAACACAGATTCCCTTGGTTTCCCAACATTCTGGAAACCTTCATATCAAAGAGGGTGAGAGAACATGCCAGCATCACCATGTTCAGACATTTAAACTTTGGCCAAATGATGGTGTTTTCCAAGATAGGGAGTTACACCCGGCCCTCAGAAGCACTTCCATGAAAGCACACATCCCTGCCTAGTACGGCGATTGGTGGAAAGAGTCTGTGCGGGGTAGACACTCCGAGACAGGGCACAGACAGCAGGAAGAAAAACAGACAATGGTACCAAGAGTTCTCGTCTAGAACTTTCGAGCCTTTAGTTTCAATAAGCATGAGTTAGTATGCAGTAAAGAGAAACAGGATGATTGTGCTATGTAGCTTTCAACCAAAACTATCAAATCTTTCTTTTAATTGTTATTCTATTGTAGTTGTTCCAATTTTTCCCCCTTTGCCCTCCACCGCCCAGCCCACCCCCTGCTCCCGCAGTCAATCCCCACATCGTTGCCCATGTCCTCAAAAGTCTTACCTGAGGTTCTAACTGTACTAAAACTTTGTACAGTTCAAGAACATGGATGCAACTGCTTCCAGACTCTGCTTTGGGATGTTCAACAGAACAAAGTTGTGAACGTCTTGCACTATGCCATGCGACCGACCTCCCATGGGATTAAGTAGACAAGCCCTCAATCCACAGAGGCAAAAAATCTGAGACATTTTCCCTCCCACTATTCTCTGTATCTCAGGTCCAACTTAATGTCAAATTAAATCTAGATTTTTTTTAAATTGACATTTACTAGAGGAGACGGCATTCCCTGAAGTAGATATTTTAGGCCAAACTTAATTCTTAGATTTTTTTTCCCCTCCTCTTTTTTGCTAATTCAAAACAAAATGTCTATCATTCACTCTAACACCAGCCTTTAAGAGCTGGAGACAAATGGAGTCTGAATATTCACGCCCATGTGGTACAAATGAGCTGTGATTTCAGGATGCTGGCTGTTTCTCTGACAGGGGAAAAGAGCGGTTGACTAGTTTAATATTTTTGGCTGAAAACACTGTGTTCAAGAGGGATGGAAAAGGCCAACATTAATATTGAGTCCTGTTATTTAATGACCAAAAATGATATACCGTGGAATAGAGCATC